CACCTTGGAAACCCAATGAGAGGTCACTATGAGTTGCAATCCACTGATGGTAGTGGGTTTGGTTTGGTTTGGTTTTTAGAAACCTAACACACAATACTAATTTTAGGTACTTTTTTTTTTTAAATTACGTCACGAACTTCCGCATTCACTACATACTCTTCTAAAGAGGCTTTTGGTCTCTGAGCTGCCGCTTGGTCTCTGAGCTGCCGCCTGCTCTCGATATTAATTTTTTTTTTTACGCCCAAGTTGAGCCTTGAGAATCTGAAATTCCAATAGAACCTGCAGCTAAAGAATCTAAATTCTAGAGGTCACAGATAGTGGGAATCAGCTAAAACTCAATCACAACAACAAACTGGGTGAACGGCACGTTCCACGTTGGCTCAAAATCTCGCGAGACAACGGTGCAAACGCGAGACCAAAAGAGTTGTTAATGCGTGTGTGTTGATCACCGCGGAAGTTACCGCTGTGGCTGTTGGGGGGTTGTGGGAAGCCCGGAAGTAACCGTAGCTTCTTTTTCTTTCATCTGGTGTTAGAGACAGCTGCTGTTGGCTTGGGTAAGTAAATATTCTGAGAACGTGGAGCCCAGAACCAGGGAACCTCGGTAAATGGGTCGAAGATTTCCAGTTGTTACATATGTCTTAGCGAAGGGGGATGAATGCCTGGTTGGGAGGCAAGTGAGAACCGAATGGTGAAGGAAAACCCTGCCCTGGGTCTCAGACGTGGTGCTGTGTCCAAGCCGTCATAGGCCTACGTCCTCAGATAGGCCGAGATAACTTAAAAGTCTTTTCTTTGTGCTAAGCAGTCCCTTGAATACGAGGAGAGACTGGGAGCGGATTCTTTCAGTACTTAGATTGACAGGCTTTGGTTCCATTCTAGAAGAATGTCGCTGAGCTGTTTTTTAATTTCTTTGCTTTGAAAGAATATTTTTACCTGGTCCTAAATTCTTACATGTATGTGAATGTCTTTCTAGAATCTCACTTCTGTTCTAATGGTCTCTGTCATGTTCTAATGACACCTATTGAATTAGTACTATTTCTAGAGAGTTAATAGTTTTTAATAGGCAACCTGAGATTTTTCATCCATTAAGAAGGAACGATAATAGTACCTTTTTCACTAACTAAGGAGCTCCCAGTGGCATATTCGTTAAAGCATTCGGCTGCTAACCAACAGGTTAGCGGTAAAAACCCACCAGCAGCTTCACGGGAGAAAGATAAGCCAGTTTGTTGCGGTCAAGATTAACAGCCTTAGAAACCCAGTGGGGTCGCTTTGAGACAGAGTCAACTCCGATGGCAGTGAGTTTGGTTTTTTGATAGGGTAGTTGAGTCAGAATCAACTCAGTGACGGTTGGTTGGTCACTATGAGGGTTAAATGAAATAATACATGTAAAATGATAGATAAATAGTGTTTTCAGTCTAACAGTTAGTAAGTGAGAGCTATTATATTACATAGAGGTGACTTCTAGGCCCCGCACAGCTTGGGGACCTAATAAATACATCTTGGTGATTACAGTACTTTTTTCAGCTTTAATTTTTCATGTTGCAGACACAGAAGTTAGTACTTTGTGGAGAGAGTAAAACAAAATGGTTTAAAGAACTGACTTTGAAGTCAGGCTTGGGTTTAAGTGCTGCTTTATCTCTTACTAGCATGTGCCCTTGGGAGAATTTCTTCACCTGTCAATGGGATGAGTAATGCATGTCTTACAATTTTACAATGATTTATAATAAAGATGCTTATATCTAGTGTTACCAGTTTTCACCTCACAGTATACTTAGGCCATCATGTAGGTTTTCTATAGTTCAGACACAGGAGAAAAGAACACCTTTGAATAGGTTCATGGACTCCCAGTCATTGAAAAATACCATTGTACAAAAACCCTGTGGATAGAGGGAGCATGATGTGTTGCAGGAAAATTAAAATAGCCATTGGAACTGTACTGTCCAGTAGGTAGTTTCTAACTACTTGAGGCTATGAAGTGCTTGAAATGTGACTAGATCTAAAAAAGGGTAAAATAACAGTGGATTTTAAAGGCTTTGTTGATTGGTTATTGATATGATAATACATTTGATATATTACATTTAGTGAAGAATTATAAACTTAATTTTACCTGTTCTTTTTACTTTGTTAATATGGCTACTGGAAAACTTAAAATTGCAGCTGGGGCTCACATTATCTTTTGGGCTGCACTGCATTGGAGGGTTTTAGTCTTCATGTGATGGCTAATATTATGTGTTAACTTGACTAGTCTGTGGTGCCTAATTTGGTAAAAAGTATATATATATATATATATCAATGTCATCAATGTGGAGAATGAATTGGAGGGAACCAGAGGAGACTAAAGTAATCATTCACATGGGGTATAGCATTGAGAATGGAGAGAAGTTGAACATGAATGTGATTCAGGTGAAAATAACAATTCTTAGTAATGAAATGGATGTGACATATGTGTGGACCACTTGTGTCAGTAGATGGATGTTGTTATTCATTGAGATAGAAAACAGTAGAAGTTTTCAGGGGGAAAGCTCTGAGTTGAGAACAAGTTGAGTCTAGATGTCTGAGACTTCTAGAGATGTCTAGAGATAGTAGAGAAAGTTTTAAGGCATTTGGCCTTGAAAGGGAGTAGAAATAGGACCCTATTTACTCTGAAGTGTTAGTGTAATAGAAAAGAGTGAGACTCAATACACAGAAAGAAAGAACATAAGGAATATATATGGGAGAAAGAATCCTGTGAAATTTTAAACACATCTTTCTTCACATGTTAATTAGGTGTGAGGGAAAAACAATTTAAGAAGTGTGAAATATATAACCAAAAAGATATTTACCTGTGTTTCACTGACTATGCAAAGGCACTTGACTGTATAGATCATAACAAATTACAGTTAACATTGCGAAGAATGGGAATTCCAGAACACTTAATTGTACTCATGAGGAACCTGTACATGGACCAGGAGGCTGTCATTTGAACAGAACAAGGGGATACTGCATGGTTTAAAATCAGGGAAGGTGTGCATCAGAGTTGAATCCTTTCACCATGCTTATTCAATCTGTGTTCAGCAAATAATCTGAGAAGCTGGACTGTATGAAGAAGAACTTGGCATCAGGATTGGAGAAAGACTCATTAGCAACTTCTGATACGCAGATGATACAACCTTGCTTGTTGAAAGTAAAGATGACTTGGAACATTTACTGATGAAGATCAAGGACTATCTATAGTCTTCAGTATGGTTTACACCTGAACATAAAACAAAAATCTTCGCAACTGGACCAATAAGTAGCATCACAATGAACAGAGAAAAGACTGACATTGTTAAAGATTTCATTTTACTTGGATCCATAGTCAACACCCATGGAAACAGCAGTTATGAAATCAGTTACTGTTTTGCACTGGGCATATCTGCTGCTAAAGACTTCTTTAAAGTGTTGAAGAGCAAAGATACCACTTTGTGGAGTAAGATGCACCTAACCCAAGCTGTGGTATTTTCAGTCATGTCTTATATATGGGAAAGCTGGACAATGAATAAGGAAGAGTGAAGAAGAATTGATGCTTTTGAATTGTGGTATTGGCAAAGAATACTGAAAATACCATGGACTACCAGAAGAATGAACAAATCTGTTATGGAAGAAGCATAGCCAGGATGCTCTTTGGAAGCAAGAATGGCCAGACTTTGTCTCCCCTACTTTGGTCATGTTGTCAGAAGGGACCATTCCCTGGAGAAGGATATCATGCTTGATAAAGTGGGGGGTCAGTGAAAAAGGGGAAAACCCTTAATGAGATAGATTAACACAGTGGCTACAACAATGGGCTCGAGTATAGCAGGAATTGTGAGGATGGCTTATGACTGGGCTGTGTTTTATTCTGTTGTACATAGACTTGCTATGAGTTGGAGTCAACTAGATGGCACCTAACAACAATATATAACCCACAGTATGTATTGTTAGCATGCTTTTTAAAAAAAAAAAAAAAATCTTTTTATTGTGATTTGGGTGAAAGTTTACAGAGAAAATTTGTTTCCATTCAACAGTTCATACTCATTTTGTTTTGTGACATTGATTACAATCCTCACAATGCAACATCTCTCTTCCTGCTTTCTACCTGTGGTACCTTTCCTGTTTCCTTTTTTCTTATGCATTCCTGCCAGGGTCATGGAGGCTGAGGTTCTTCTGGTCCACTAGTCCCTTGGACTAATTTGTCCATGCATGTTTGATTTTCTTTGTTCTGGATGAGAAGAGACCAGTAGTTGCATCTTAAATAGCTGCTCTCAAGCTTTTAAGACCCCAGTCACTACTCACCAAAGTAGGCTGTAGGACAATATTTTTATGTACTGTGTTGTGCCAGTTGAGCTTGATGTTCCCTGTGACCATGGTCCCAAGGTTGTGGAAAGTGACTCCCTTCCTCAAGGTGTTTGATTGTGGCTAAGAAGTTATCATAACTTAGTTCCCCATTAGCTTCACTATGTGTATGGACATTTTTATACTGCATGCAAATACATGTATGAAAGTATCATCTGCCAAACCTCTATATGGTTGTGGGTATATTCCTGTTTGCCTATCTATACTTGATCATCTTGCCTGTCTACCTGTGTGTCCACCTGTAGATTAATGTTTGTTATTACAGATAATTCAGAATTGTATATCTAATAGTATTTATCTTTGTTGTCTGTATCTCTTGTGATTTCCTCTATGTCTTCCTTTTCTTAGTGCTGGTCATCCACTTTTGGTATGTTGTCTTTCTGTTCACCTAGATTAATACGTATCTCTTACCTAGTTAGCAGTTACCCTCCCCTCCCTGGTAACCAGCAAAGAAAGTTTCCTTCCGTGTGTAAACCTTTCCTTGACTTTTTATATTAGTGGAGTCATGCAATATTTGTCCTTCTTTGATTGAGTTGTTTCACTCAGCATAACGTCCTCCAAGTTCACTGGATATATTTTGGAAGATTTCAGTGATATACCCATGGGAACCTAGTTTATACTGTAAGCTTATTTCTTCTTTGTCTTACAGTAGAGAAGGTAACTATGTCAGCTGCAGCTGTGGAAGCAGTTAATGCTGCCCCTCTGTCTGGGTCCAAAGAAATGAGCTTGGAGGAACCAAAGAAAATGACCAGAGAGGACTGGAGAAAGAAGAAGGAGCTAGAAGAACAACGAAAACTGGGTAATGCTCCTGCAGAAGTTGATGAAGAAGGAAAGTAAGTGTTTTATTTTTTCTTCACATTCTGTTTATTCAAAATCCATGTGTACTTAGTTTACCAATTTCTCATTCTTTAAATTGGCAAGACGCTATCAATTTACATTTTTGGTTTTTTATTTTATCAAACTAATATTCATAAGATTGAATAATCAAATAATTCTAAAGGGCTTAAAATGAAAAGCAGTAGTCCCTTTCCACCCTTTTCACTCCCATTGTTATTCTCCAGAAATGACTACTTTTAATTCTTTCTTTTTTTGAGTTTTTCTGGTTGATACCTCCATAAACCAAAACCTGTTGCCATTGAGTTCATTCCAACCCACAGTGACCCTACAGGACAGAGGAGAACTTCCCCCATAGGGTTTCCAGGGCTGTAAGTTTTACATAAGCAGACTGCCACATCTTTCTCCCACAGAGTGGCTACTGTGTTCAAACTACCAACCTTTTAATTAGCAGCCGAGCACTTTAACATATATACCACCAAGTCTCCTTTGATACCTCCATATCTCTAAATGATATTGTTATTGTTGTTAGGTGCTGTCGAGTCATCTCCAGCTCATAGTGACTTTATGTACAACAGAACAAAACATTGCCTGATCCTGTGCCAGCCTCATGATCTCTACTATACCTGAACCCATCACTGTAGCCATTGTGTCAATTCATATTGTTGAAGGCCTTCCCTTTTTTGTTGACCCTCCACTTTACCAAGCATGACATCCTTCTCCAGAGCATGGTCCTTTCTGACAACATGACCAAAGTAGAAGTCTGGCCATTCTTGCTTCCAAGGAGCCTTGTGGCTGCACTTCCTCCAAGACACATTTGTTAATTCTTTTAGCTGTCATCGGTACTTTCAGCGTTCTTCGCCAACACCATGACTCAAAAGCATCAACTCTTCTTCAGTCTTCCTTATTCATTATCCATCTCTCACATGCATATGTTATTGTTGTTAGGTGCCATCAAGTAGCAACCCCTCCCTGCGTTTCCAAGGCAGTATCACTGTGGAAGTAGATTGCCCAGCCTTCCTTCCGAGGAGTGGCTGGTGGGTTTAAACCCCCAGCCTTCTGGTTAACAGTCAAGTGCCTCAGGCTCTATGCTACCAGAGTGCTTGCCTGCATATAAGGCAATTAAAAATACTGTGGCTTGGGTTAAGTGCATCTTACTCTTCAAGGAGATATCTTTGCTCTTCAGCAGTTGAAAGAGGTCTTTTGCAGCAGATTTGCCCAATGTAATATGGGAGCTCTGGTAGCATAGTGGCTAAGACACTTGCCTGCTAACCAGACGGCTGGCGGTTCAAACCCACCAGCCACTCCTCGGAAGGAAGGTTGGGCAATCCTACTTCCGTAGTGATAACTGCCTCGGAAACCCAAGGAGGGGTCGCTATGAGTCGGGGCCGACTCGACGGCACATAACAACAACAACAACAACAATATGTTGCTGATATCTTGACTGCTGTATCCGTTGGTGTTGATTGTACAACCAAGCAATATGAAATCTTTGACAACTTCGATCTTTTCTCCTTTTATCTTGATGCTGCTTGTTGGTCCACTTGTGAGTATTTTTGTTTTCTTTATATTGAAGAGTTATCCTTACTATGGACTGTAGTCTTTAATTTTCATCAGTAAGTGCTTCAAGCCATCCTCACTTTCAGCAAGCAAAGTTGTGTCATCTGCATATCTCTAGTTGTTAATGAGCCTTCCTCTGATCCTGATGCCATGTTCTTCTTCATATAGTCCAGCTTCTCAGATTCTTTGCTCAGCATACAGATTGAATAGGTATGGTGAAAGGGTACAACCCTGGCACACTCCCTTCCTGATTTTAAACCATGCAGTGTCGCCTTGTTGTGTTCGAATGACAGCCTCCTGGTCTATGTACAGGTTCCTCATGAATATAATGTAAGTATTCTGGAATTCCCATTCTTCTCAATGTTATCCAGTTTGTTATGACCCACACAATCGAATGCATTTGCATAGTCGATAAAATATAAAACATCTTTCTGGTATTCTTTGCTTTGAGCCAAGATCCATCTGACATCAGTTATGATATCCCTTGCTTCATGTCGCCTTCTGAATCCACCTTGAATTTTTGGGAGTTGTCAATATACTGCTGCAACTGTTTTTGAATTATCTTCAGTGAGATTTTACTTGAGTGTGATATCAATAATTGTTCGATAATTTCCACATTCTGTGGGATAACCTTTCCTTGGAATGGGTACACATATGAATCTCTTCCAGTCATTTGGCCAGGTAGCTGTCTTCCAAATCTCTTGACGTAGCTGGGTAAGTGCCTCCAGTGCAGTTTCCATTTGTTGAAACATCTCAATGGCTATTTTGTCAATTCCTGGCTCCTGTTTTTCACCACTTCCTTCAATGCAGCTTTGACATCTTCCTTTAGTACCATTGGTTCTTGATCGTATGCTGCCTCCTAAAATGGATGATCATCTACCACTTCTTTTTGGTATGTTGTTGTTGTTGTTGTTGTTGTTGTTATGTGCTGTCGAGTCAGACCTGACTCATAGCTACCCCTCTTGGGTTTCTGAGACAGTATCACTACGGAAGTAGATTGCCCCATCTTCCTTCCGAGGGGTGGCTGTGTATTCCATCCATCTTCTTTTGATGTTTCCTACATCATTCAACATATTGCCCATGGACTCTTTCAGTACTGCAATTCAAGTCTTAAATGTTTTCCTCAGTTCTTTCAGCTTGAGAAATGCTGAGCATGTTTTTTTTCTTTTGGTTTTCTAACCCCAGGTCTATGCACATTTCATTATAATAATTGATTTTGTCTTCTCGAGCTGCTCTTTGAGATCTTTTGTTCAGCTTTTTTATCTTGTCGATTCTTTTTTTTTTTTTTTTTTAATTGTGATTTGGGTGAAAATTTACAGCGCAAATTCACTTTCCATACAGTAGTTCACATACACTTTGTCTCATGACAAATTGAGTACAATTTACCACAATGCAACAGCTCCCCTCCCACTTCCTCCCAATAGTTACCTCTTCCCTGTGTCCATTAGATATGTCCATGCACTCCTGCCCCCTGAGCTGTCTCCCTGTGCATAAACAGCCCTTTCTCCCATGATTGTTCTCTCCAAGGAGTTTATCTGCCTCAGATAAATGTTCAGCTCCTATGCCTGTCTTTTGTTTGGCTGGAAGCCACAGGTGTGGGTTCAATTCCAAACTCGAAGGGCAGCTAGGGGCCATAGTCTCAGTGGTTCCACTGGGCTCTATCAAACCAGCAAATGTGGTCCCCTTTTTTTTTTCCTAAATGATTTTGAGTTTTGTTGCACATTGTTCTTCTTCTCTATCCAGGATCTCCTACATAGATCCCCCTCTGAGTGGTTGACTAGTGGTAGCACCATCTAGTTCTTCTGGTCTCATAGTCATATAGGCTGTGGATCGCATGGTGTACCAGTCTCTAGGACTAATTGTTTCCATGAATCTTTGGTTTTCTTCATTCTTCTTTGCTCTGGATAAGAAGAGACCCATCGTTGGATCTAGATTGCTGTTTATAAGCTTTTAAGATCCCGGTTGCTACTCGCCAAAGTAGGAAATGGAACAATGTTTTGTGTAGTGTGTTATGCCAGTTGAGCTTGATGTCCCCTGCGACTGTGGTCCCGAGCCCAGAGGTTCAACTACTCGGTCCCTTTGTGTAGCTGGCTGTGACCAAGAAGTGACTACAACCTTGTCTCTTGTCAGCTCTAGTACACACCTAAGAATTCAGATCATACAAATACACTTATAGGACCATTGTCTGCCCTGTACATGGTCTTGGGTACACTCCCCACTTCATAGACATATCTAATAGTTCAGCCTGGCCACCCATCTGTCCACCCATATATCTTGTCAATTACTGCATTTGCTTTAGCTATTCTCCATTCAAGGGCAGGTTTCAGAGTCTCTTCTGACATCCATTTTGGTCTCTGTTTCCTTTCCTGTCTTTTTTTTTTTTTAATTCCATTTCTTTTTTTTTTTTTTTTTTTTGTTAATTATAATTGTAGTTGTGCAAATGTATAGAGCAGAATTCATTGTACACGCAACATTTTGTGTACATTTGGTTTCACTTCCCAGTTAACATCCCCAACCCTAACCCACTCTCCTCTTCTCCCTTCCCAGTAACCTTCCCAGTCCCCCCATGCTCTTCATAGTTATGCACTCCTGTGTGTTCTGCATTTCTGCCATGTGAATGTTGCCCCTCTGGTGCCACATGTCAGTTGCTCCAGGGGCTGTTTCTCTGTAGAGTATTTGGGTGTGTCACCCTGGATTGGTGGTCTACGTGTACTCTTATTTACTATTGGGCTGAGAGCCAGCCCTTGGAATGAGTTTTATTCCAGGCCTGAAGTGTATCCCAGGGCCATAGTATTGGGGTTCCCACCAGACTCCCTCTGACCAGTGATTCTGGTCATTACTGTGTTTTTGGATTTTGTTCCACATTTTTCCTCCCACTCTATCCAGGATCTCCAATTTTGATCCCTTCCTGAGTGGTTGGCATTGGTAGCCGGGCACCATCTAGTTCTTCTGGTCTTGAGGTCCATCATATCCTAGGGCTGATTTTTCCAGATGCCCTAGATTTTTTGCACTCTTCTTTACTTCTGACAATAGTAGACCATTAGGTGCATGTTCAATGGCCACTCGAAAGCTTTCAAGATTCCAGTTGCTACTCAACCAAAGTAGATTATGGAACAAGATTTTTATGTATTTCATTGTGCCATTTGAGTCCAGTGTCCCCCAGTACTATGGTCCTGAGTCAGTAAATTCATTGGTTCTCTCTCCCAGTGTCTGGCTGTCTGTGAGGGATTGTTCTATGTCTGTCTTCTGTTGTTTCTGTAAGGATTGCAGGCATTTTGTATCACTGGTATCTGTGCAAGATTAGCCTCAGTTGAATCTATCCTTGGTCTCGAGTATAATCCTGTTCACTGACCCCCATCTGATCTTCTCAGATGTTTATGTGATTATCTGTAGCCTGGTGTTTGGTGTTAGTGGTAATGCAGTGTTGTGGCTGTACTGGTATTAGCATATGTCCTCTATGTCTTATGTGCACAATTTGGTGTTACAATAATTGACTGTCTTCTTGAACTACTATTTGAAATCTTCTGTTCAGCTCTTTTATCCTGTCAATTCTCCCATTTGCTTTAGCTACTATTCTCCATTTAAGGGTAAGTTTCAGAGTCTTCTCTGGCATCCACTTTAGTCTTTTCTTCCTTTCATGTCTTTTTAATGACCTTTTGCTTTCCTCATGAATGATGTTCTTGATGTCATATCACACACAATTCCTCTGGTTTTCAGTCATTGGTGTTCAGTGCATCAAATCTGTTTTTTAGATGGTCTCTAAATTCAGTAGGAATATAATCAAGGTCATTTTGGCTCTCGTGGACTTGTTTTAATTGTTTTCAACTTCAACTTGAACTTGCGTGTGAGCAATTGATGGTCTGTTCCACAATCAGCTCCTGGCCTTGTTTTGGCTGAAGATATAAATGTATACTTAAACCATTATTTTAATCTAGACATTCTCACTTAACTGCTTGCTATGATAGAAAATTTAGCTCACTAGCAAAATAGCTCTATCTTCCCTCACCTCTCCTCCCACATTAGTTAGATCATCAGTGAGTTTCTTTGTTGGAAAATTTTAACTCTAATATAAATTACTTTCTTCTTAATTGCTTTTTATTGTATTATAGAGTTATCAGGGAGCTCTGGTGGCATACTGCCTAAGGTAGTTGACTGCTAACTAGAAGGCTGGTGGTTCAAACCTACCAGCCTTTCCTTAGAAGGACGAATGGGCAATCTACTTCTGTAGTGATAACAACTTCAGAAACCCAAGGAGGGATTGCTGTAAGTCAGATACAACTCAACGGCAGTGAGTTTGGTTTTGGTTTTTTGTAGAGTTATCAGCTCTCTTCCCTCTCTTTCTTCCCACTACAGTTATATCTCCAGTCTTAAGCTCTTTATGTGCCAGCTTTGCAATTTTAATACTAATTACTTTCAAGCTTTATTTTTTTTAAGTTTTTAAACATTTTTTCACAGAGACATCAACCCTCATATCCCTCAGTATATTTCTTCAGTACCATGGTATATTGATCCATCAAAAAGACCAACATTAAAGCACCAGAGACCACAGCCAGAGAAACAAAAACAGTATAGCTCATCTGGAGAATGGTATAAGAGGGGTGTAAAAGAGGTATGTCCTTGTTTATGTGAAGATTTTATTTTAAGAATTTAATGCAAGAATCCTTAATGTAATAGTATATAAAGTTGAAACAGATGTATATAACCTTTTATTTGGTCTTCAAATTCACAGTGCATACCACTTTAACATCTGGACTTTATTTTATAAATTTAATATTGTTTAAGTTCTTAAACTTTGTAAATATGTGGAGACTTCTAACTGGTTTTCATCAGAAAGAATAAATCATTTCATTAGAAACTACCCTAATGAGAGCTTACATTATTTCTAATGTCCTCAGATAAATAAAATATTTTTTCTTTATATTCATTTCTAGAATTCGATAACTACTAAGTATCGCAAAGGAGCATGTGAAAATTGTGGGGCCATGACACACAAAAAGAAAGACTGTTTTGAGGTACATTTGCCTTTGAGAATTTTGGAAATTGCCACCAGAGAGTCTTTCTTTATTTTTTGTCAGTTTAATTTCATTTTTTTAAAATTACTAACACTTGGGTTTAAAGTCAATAAAAATTGATTTGAGTGACTTAGTTCAACACCATCAAAAAATTTTTGCTGAAGATTAAATGATAATTGAGTAGACCATAAAGTTCTATGGTAGTTTGATTCTATCTTTGTAAAGGTTTTATGAAATTCTGCTGTGAGCTGCTGGTGAGCTACTACCAGTACTTAGGAAAAATTAATTCTTTGTTCTTCAGAGACCTAGGCGAGTTGGAGCAAAATTTACAGGTACTAATATAGCTCCAGATGAACATGTCCAGCCTCAGCTGACTTTTGACTATGACGGGAAGAGAGATCGGTGGAATGGGTACAATCCAGAAGAACACATGACGATTGTAGAAGAATATGCCAAAGTTGATCTGGTAAGCAAAATTCTCTACTTTTCTACTATCATTTAAGTATATAAACTGTTGCTGTATTTCTAACTTAGCAATTCTGTTTTTGAATCTTCAAGCATTATAAAGATGGTGGTGTTTTTACACTAGTAATAGAGACTTAACTGAATAGTAACATAAGTAAAAATAAAAGTATGCTAGCCCTGTGTTTGGCAACAATTTCTTATTATTTGATTTTTTTATTCTTTACTTTCTAACTTAGGTTGTAAAATAATTGGAAAGCATGAAAACAACTTAATAACCAAAGCTTTTAGCTTTCTGAAGTTGTAAACTCTTGGCTGTCAAACTGCATCTTGCCCGTGGACCCGTTTTGTCTCACACAGCATTTGTTCCAGATAATTGAAATTTACTTTAATTTGAGCTCATTTTTTTTTTCTGTTATGATTTCACCTACTCACTCCTGTTCCTTTAAAACCAAAGTTACGCTGCATTATTTTTAAATTAAACTTGATGTTTAAAATGCTTGCGATTTCACATAAAAATCTGAATTTCATCCTTTCTTGAACACTGAAATACCTAGTAAACTGGGTCTGCCTGGAAGAAGTCAGTCATCTGAAATCAGATGGGTATTGCCTATTTTATGCAGAGAGCTTACTCTTAGCAGTTGACTACTGATGCTGTCTGGTTTGGTACACAGACTGCCTGGTCCAAACAGAAGTTAACAACCCCTGTTCTCTAAACAGTCATAGATATAAATGTTGATTCATGTCAGCATTCTCATTATTTCCATTTTATGTGTTCTGTTTCCATTAATCTAGCTTCCTTGCCCCTCCTTACCTTATCGTTGCTTTAGGGTAAATGTTGGGACAGTCATAGATCTTGGAGCTCGAGGAACCTTAATGAGATTATTTTTGACCAGTAACCTTTTCTGAAAATAATAAAACAATTCTTTTTTTAAGTATATAAAAATTAAATGGCCATTTGAATATTCTAAGTAAATTTTAAATGTTTCTGTTTTTTAGGCAAAAAGAACACTGAAAGCCCAAAAGCTACAAGAGGAATTAGCCTCTGGAAAATTAGTGGAACAGGCTGTAAGTAATAAAAACAATCAGTTAAAAATGTTAAACTCTTTGTAATAGAAGGAAGGAATCTGAAACAGTTACTGTTGTCTCTCTAATTGGAAAAGATTTTAGAGAGAAAAGCTGTTGAAGAGGAAAAGTAAAACTGATACTTTTAATACTGTTCATGGGAATATAAATTGATGGAGTCATTCTGGAAAGGATGTTGTTGTTGTTTGCCGTCGAGTCGGCCCCGACTCATAGTGACCCCTCCTTGGGTTTCCGAGGCAGTATCACTACGGAAGTAGGATTGCCCAACCATCCTTCTGAGGAGTGGCTGGTGGGTTTGAACCGCCAGCCTTCTGGTTAGCAGTCAAGTGCTTTTAGCCACTATGCTACCAGAGCTCCCTTTGGAAAGGATAGAACCATCAAATATGTTTTTTCTCTGGATTTAAATTACTAGATCCATCCATCCAAAAGAATGTCCAAGAAAAAAATTATTAAGCACAAAGATGTTCATTGCTCTTCAAATTAAACAATATGTAATGCAATGAGAACCTGTTTTCTATGTCATTAAATATAGCTATAGCATTATTTAATTTTAGATAATTCTACATGGTTCAAAAATCAAAAATAATTTAAGAAAATATACAGTGAAAAGTTTCTCTCTCCTGTCTATTTCCACCTCATCGCTCTACATGCCCCCATCAAATAACTTTATTTTGCTTATGGATCTATTTGGAGTTTCTGTGTAAATACACGTATAATCTTATTCTGACTCCAATTTTTATTTTTCAAAAAAAAGGTAGCAAATTATACATCTTCTCCAGCACCTTGGATAGGATCACTTTTTTGTTGTCGTTAACATTTTACTGTGCTTTAGGTGAAAGTTTACACAGCAAATTAGTTTTACATTCAATAATTCATACACAAATTATTCCATGATCTTGGTTGCAATCTCTGCAATGTGTCAGCACTCTCCCCATTTCTACCTTGGGCTCTGAATTTCTATTCATCCAGTTTCCTTGCCTCTCCTTGCCCTTTCGTCTTCAGGCCAGTGTCTCCCTCTTGGTCTCATATAGTTGATTGTTCTAAGGAGCACATTCCTGATGGGTGTTACTATTTATTTTATAGGCCAGTCTATTATTTGGGTGAGAGGTGGCCTCTGGGGGTGGTTCCAATTCCAGATTAGAAGAGTGACTTAGGGCAATAGTCTCAGTCCTTCCTACAGTCTCTATCAGACCAGTAAGTCTAGTCTGTTTTATGGATTTTAATTTTATTCTACCTGTTTCACCCATTCTAACTGTGACCTTCTATTTTCCTGTTCAGAGTTGTCAAGTGGTAGCCAGGCACCATTAGTTCTTCTGGTGTCAGGTTAGAGGAGGCTGTGATTATGTAGGCTATAGTCCTTTGGACTAATTACGTTCTTAAGTCTTTCGTTTTCTTTACTCTTCTTTGCTCTGGGCAGGAAGAGACCAGTAGTTGTATTTTAGATGGCCATTCACCAGCTTTTAAGGCCCCAGATGCTACTCACCAACTAGGATGTAGAACATTAACTATATGTACTATTATATCAGTTCATCTAGATTTTCCCCAAGACTATGGTCTTTAGCCTTCAAGCCTGGAAGCTCAGTCCTACAAGATACTTAGTTATCTCTAATAAATTTCCGTAACTGTGCCCCGTGTGGTCTATTATATATATGAATATGCGTATGGCACATATAAATACATAAGTAGAAATAATCACAATTATGTGTGTGTGTGTGT